ACAGAAACTTGCAGGGAATGTACTGCTCTTACCTTAGAGAAGGGGCCAGCAAACCTCCACAACCCATTAAATCCAAAACCTACAACAACAAATCAAATGTTACCACACACAGTTCTCAACTGACAGAAACCAACCAGAAACTATGGAATTGCCCAGCCTTCCAGGGTTAAACTGAAACTCATCATTTACCCCCACTCCTGGTCTGTATTCCTTCAAATTGCTTAGCAGACACAATACCGACTTTCAGCTTCTTTTGACACACACAGCTGGTGTAGGACTTTGAATTTTAGTGCACAATAGCAGGGAGCAGCTTTAATATTCACAGCAGCAGGGTTTGTAATATGTAAACTCTTCTGTTTACGAGAATATGACATTGGCAAGATGCCACACAAGACCGACTGAGTGCTCTATTTAGGGCTGCAGTTCTAAACCACTATCAGTAGTAAATCTAACTTCAGATATGGCTGCTTTTAAACCCAAGGAAAGGTATTTACTCTGTAGGTAAGAAGTTTGGTACTGGGGCGGCGACTCTTCATGGTAGACAACGCTCTGAACGATCCCATGGATTGGATTCAGCAAGTTTGGATCCTGGCACAGAGATAGGAGGGTATTGATCTTGGAATCCAGTAAATTGTGCCTGAAGGAAAAGAGAAGCAGTTTATTTGTTGTTCATTAAACACAAACCAGCCGCAGTTCCCAAATGACTTCAGCTAAGGTGAGATTTTCAAAACCTCGGTGACTTCAGAAGTACAATGCAATTCCTACGCGTGTTCAGTGTAATGCTGACAAAGGGCTGCGCTCAAAATGTGCCCCACTGAAGCATTCACCTTACATTTTACATTGCAAAGAGTTTCATTATTTTCAACCAAAACCCAATTCACTGGATTTGGGAACATTTCAGAGCTGCAGTTTCAAAGCAGCTTTTTCACCCTGTGGCAGTGTTCCTTCCCTGGGCTCTGTTAATACAAATGCCACTTACTTATAACCGTGGTTTCAATAACTCACACAACTTGTATGTGCTTTACCCATTTATAAAGGCAGAAAATAGCAGCATGATTTTTACATCATGCTCAGGTCAGCTTTAAGTCTCCTCCTCTGAAGTCCCGACGGTTGGGTTCCTCTTACGCAGACTGACTCCAGCAAATACTACTTTTAACAGGTATCTGAAGAAATACCAGAGTGTCCTGACCTGGCTTTGAATCAGTTTTGACTGGCACGTGGAGTGCTAAGTACAAAACCTGAGTGTGACTGCGGTGAAGCACCAGGAGCAGTACCTGAGGAGGCCTGGTCCAGGAAGAACACTGGATTAGTTTAACACAGGGGAAAAGGATGATTCTCAAATTGCTATGGACACTTGTCCCAGCAAGCCATGGACAGATGAGTCCTTCATACAAGCTTGTCCTGGTGCAGACCTTTTAAAGGAAGGGCCAAGATGAGAGTCCCCATGAACAGTGTTGGATACCTACACAACAGGAAAGACCTTTGGGAAGACGACGCTGGCTTCTGCTAAATACTCGTACAGAATCCGCTGGTCAAACTCATCAGTAGTGTACTTCACTAATGTCGCCTGTTACAAGGAAAAGGATTAAATGAGCACACTTGCAATCTGAGTAGTTCTACACAGGCTTTGTTGTTGTAGTTTAAGGTTTTAAGATTTGTGAATAGCAGAAAACAGCATTACAAAAGATTCATTTGTGTTCTCTCTGGACATGGAGCCGAGTCATTTTGTGTCTATGTGGGAAATAAAACCAGCTGGCAATAGCTTCTATTTTGATAAATATTTAGCTAGTTGTTTTTTGTCAAAAGCAGGCAACTGAATCTGTCTGAATTACCTCAGGAATGGCGACTGGATTGGTCCAGCTGTAGAAAGCACCATCATACTGTACCTCTATTAACAGTTAATCATTGAAAAACTGAATTACGCTGGGATTCCAACAGCTTGCACTTCTTGACTTTAGAAGTATAATGTATTGCTATCATTTTATCATATAAAATTAGTCTGTGATAATAATCTGCCAGGGAAAAAGGGACAATTGTTGGACAAGTTCTACAAAGCAAGGTGGAATAATGAAAATTCAGTACCTGCTCTCGAGGAGCATTTAAACACATTTCTAACAGTGATTCCTAGAAAGCTGGATCAAAAGAATCGACCTGCACATCACAGGGATGCTGATCCATGTGAAGCTGGAAACACTGCAAGGAGCACGCATAACACAACAGTCTCAGAAAATAACAGGGAATAGACAGAAAGAAACCTTACAAGAACCGTAAGCAGCAGCGCTTGTATTTTGGGGTCAGTCAGGACTTCTTCATCAAGCAGGACATTTGACTCGGACACAGAAACCTTTCGGAGATGCGGGTGCTGCTGTGGTGATATTCTCTGGGTTTCTGCCAGATAAAAAAAGAGCAACTCATCCAAAGCAAAAGCAACCCCAACCAAACCAGAACCAGCTCTTGCACAACAAACTCGGTCATATGCAAACTCTGAGGTCACCAGCATTCGTAAGGTAGGAAAGCAACAGCTATGCTGGAATGCCGGCAGCACTGGACCGTTCCATGGGATGTGTTATCAAATGGTCAACAATAACCCCAATTTCCTCATCAGTGAAATACAGGCCCAGGGGTGGCAAGTCCCACGTTCCGGCTCTGGCAGCAGACTGCCATCAGACACGAGAGCAGAACCCTGGTCTTGCATTGCAATTGGGGGTGGGGGCACAGGAAGCAGATGTGGGAGACGATGAAGAGAGGCATTCGAGGCATTAGGTCATGTTCCATCTCCTGCAGGAATTTGCAGCTTGGGTTTGTTAGCTCAGAAAAAGCCAGATTTGGTTTATTTCAGTCCACTCCTGTACGTGCAGCTTTACAGCTACAAACTGAGCAACTCCAATTCAAACCTCAGTTGCTAATGATAGGAAGACTTTGCTCTCCAGAAGCCACTGCTGAGACAGATATTTCTCCCTTACCTTGTAGTGTCCTAGGCAAATAAACACTGAATTTAGAAATAATTCTTTGTATGTGCATACAAAGCATTTATAATTAGTATTATTCTGAAAATGTTAGTCCTGTTTCTCACCCATTTCATAATCATTTTCGGCTACTCTCCTCATTTTGGGAGGCGTTGTGATTCCAGATTCCATGTCTTGCCTTTTAGGAGCCTTTGTGTCCGATATCAAATGGTCAAAACTTTTCCTTGTACCTAAAAACAATTTATCAGGCAATTAAAAACATTAAACCTAGATCCATATTCTAACTTTTCCTGATTTTCTGGCCACGCTACTCTCCTATCTACAACGCATTGACAGGAATCTGGGGACGTTTTCACCATTTTCAGGGATGGTAAAGAAAATACGATCACACCATGCCGCTCTCCATCACAGGTTCCAAAATGCTTCACAGTATGTATGAGGGAAGCATGCAGTTTACTCAGAGATGTATGCTGGGGCATGCTATGGTTTCCTGGTCACCACATCACATCCAATAAACATGCCAAAATGTGACTACTGAAAAGGAAGCAGTAACAGGATCATAATGAAATAACTCTCCTCTTCATCCACGTGCACCACGGAATGTAAAGGGTACCCACAAGTTACACCAAGCAACTCATCTTGTTTCTCTGACACTGAGGCTTTGCTTGTAAACAGGATGCACTGAGAGGCCATGAATAAAAATCAGATTGCTTACAAAACTTCTAAAATGTTTTGGGACCCTCTCTTCTAGCACAAGACAGAGAACTCAACTCAGCAGCTAAGCTAAGGTATTCGGCTTCTTGGTTTTGGTGAAAGAGGGCTGGTGGCAGAACACTGGCACTATGAATCTTTAGTGTCTGGAGTATCTCTTTTTCTTCCTTTTTTCCCTTTTTCCTCCACATATTTTGAGTGTCACTTTTGCTTCCCCCCTTTGTGATCAAAAGACCCGAGTTAGTCCTCTCTAACTGTACAGTGTTCTGTAATCATACTTTGTAGGAACTGCATACATTCCTCTGGATAGGGAATAAGCATTTAAAGTCAGAACAAATACAAGTATAACGTCTCGCCAGTAACACTCCCTGGGGTACTCTGCAGACAAAGGAGTGAATTAGTTATGTGAATAACCTAGAAGCTTTTTAGTGTTCGCTTGTGACGGCTGCCCCATATCCAAACTCATGGATTTTCGTGTTCGAGGGCTTATCTGTCCCACTGTCGGGTAACTGGCAGCCAGGTGTCTGTCTGACCCCTTTGGTGATGACCAGGGCTGGTTTTCCTTTAGTGTCCTGAAAGTGCAGAGAAATTCAATTAAGAAAATCTTTAAAACTGTGCATATTTAGGCATAAATTGTTCAAATAGCCAAACTATCCTGTATTAAACCCATCTTTCCTAGCAGGTTAATCTCCCCAAAACACATACAAAGAAATAGTAACTACTTTGCTTGCAAAAGTGACTAGTGAAGGCTAACAATCTGATATGGATGTAATGCTGAAGAGATAAACAATAAAGCAATGAAAAGAACACAAGCAAATCAGCCTACAAGGCAAGACGAAACTGGATGCTGAGAAGAGAGACACTGAGTAAAGTGCTCCCCATTGAGAGAAACTGGCTCTCCCCATCACTTTGAGGTGGGTTTCTCAGCTTATATCTGTGCTGCAGATAGACAGGCTCTAAGGTGTTGAGATTTTCCAATGACAAGGATAAAGTGACTACTTATAGAAGGACAAACGAAACTTCCTTCTAAAATATAAATGAGATGAAATTAGGTCTTGTAGAAAGATGTTAGCAAAGAGTTTAACAACCTCCAAAGCAGTTAAGCTCTGCGATACAGACCTCAGAATTAAATCTGTATGAATTTTGATACCCACATTTCTCTGTGACTGAGTTTTTAACAGAACACAGGTTACCTTTGGGTGATTTATTAAAGGAAATAGACATTGAAATGCGTGTGAAATATCTAAAAGTCAGACAACCAACCTATAGCTAGTGTCACTGTGATGGATGGGGTAGGTATCCATGGGAACATTCTCCATTGAAACGTCCGTCAACAAGAGAGACTTCCTGTGCTTCAGGCTGCAGCGACTTCGAACTTCCTCAGACACTGTCAGCAAAGCTAAAACGCCAAAGAAAGCCAAGGTAAGTTTTGCATAGAGGCAACGCTGAAGGTAAGCAGCATTCCACCCACTTCACACTTCTCCTGTGTGCACTGCAGTGCAGTGTGCTTACGTCCCAGTGGTCGTCTTTGTTCTGATTCAAAGCAAGTCATTTAAAAAGAATGCTGATCCCCATCCAGTCACAGTTACAGGACTTAAACACTTGCCCCCCATGGTCACAGTTTCTGCTCGTAGATCACTAGGAACTGGATCACTGTAAGGCACACACTGCAGGGCTTAAACCAAGAAACCTTAAGCCTCCCTGAAGGGTTTCCACTGCTGCACAGCCGCTCCCCTGTAGGTGAAGCCTTCAACCCCCAAACTCTGTCTTTGATGCACCCCAGCCTAGCCCAGCCCCTCGGCCACCCCCACTTACAAGTGTCCTTCACGTTGGTACCATTTTATCAACCCAAACCCACAAGAATTCCCACAAGAATCTGTTCATTTGCAGTCAGCACAAACTGAGAACAACGTTGGTTTGTCTGACTTTACCTGCCAGGTAAGCCACGCTCTGGGTGTTCACCTCAAACTTGTCACAGTTCCTGTGCTTGTTAACCAGAGCTAGTAGTGTGTGTAAAATCCTCACAGTTCTTGCTACAGTGGTAGGAGAAGGGTGCCTGTACCCTAGGAAATGGGGTTAAAAACCAAATACTGTATTTAATGTTCAGTGCATATTTAAGAAGCATTAGTATGTTCATTAGCATGTTCTCAGGACACTTCACATGAAGAGTAAGTAAGGAAGCACAGCTCTACCAGATGTAAGATGTGTTCTTACCCTTCAGGAGGTGTCCCACTAGTGCAAAGTTGAAGTTGGAGTTGAAATTCAGCCCAACAAAATGGTCCATCTGCTTGCAGTGCCACTCCAGGGGTCTCCTGATCTCCATGAACACCTCTTCCGGGCTCTGTCCAGGAAAAAGAAAACCCAAGAGCTGCTCATGATAGCTCCAGGTGTTCTTTTTACAAGTGACAGAGTAATTTTAAGAGCTTACACTGAAATACCAAACACACCTTTGAACACATCTGTACATTGCTGTTCCAGTTCAGAACACAATTACATACATCGCAGTTGGTATTACCCAAGTGAAACAATCCCTAATGCAGTTTTAGTTGCTTACCCAGTGTCCAGGAGGACAAGGAGCTGTGGGCTTTTCCTGTATTAACAGATATAACTGCCCACACAAACCCTGTGTCAGTCAGAGCTGGTTGCTAACAGCTCACCTTGTCATTGAATACTCGAAGGCTGTCCAGGGTGTGCAGATTCTGCTCAAGTAGGGCTGTACCTGCTGAGTACAGGTTTACTTCATCCAGCTGCAGCACTGCCATGGCCACCCAGAAGAGGGCCTTGTGCATCGGCGAGTCCTGGAGGGAAAGGGAGAAAGCCATGATTGTCAAGTCAGTTCCTGTAAATGAAAGACAAATGGGACTGACACACGGTTTGCACATCATTACAACCCTTCCTGTAGCCAGTCCTGTCCTCAACCACATCCACTCCAACACACAGATGGTCATGTGAACCTGTCATCTTCATGCACTTAACAGGTGAATAGTAGAACGTGAACTAATTTCAAGCCTTTTATTTCCCCCTAAGCCATTTCTTCTCTCTAGTACTCCTTCCCTTGCTCACAACACATCCGACACACCATGCCTCACACCTGACTGAACAAAAACCTGTCCTCAGATTGAAAGCACATGTTGAAAATGGATTGCAACTCTGCACACAAAACTGGCCAGGCAATTTCTACTCCAGATCAAAAAGCACACAGGAGGAATGCAGACCTTGGGGTCTCAGGCAGCAGATTTTTCTAGGAACAAGGTTTATGTACTAATAGTAGGTGCCTGAGGCTCTTTGTTACTGGAATACCGCTCATATCATGAACTTGAAAGCCCCATCCAGATGGCCAAGTTAGCAGCAAATCAGAGCAGGCTGACATTTACTGCAAGCCATGCCTTGACAGGCCTGTACTGGCAAACACTGAGAGCCAAGGCTGAGAACCTTCAGACAGCCGCTGGCAGCCTGTGCTCCATCAGTGCTGTGGCTGATGGAGCAGAACAGCTCAGGCTGAGGTGTTTTTAAAGTCATCTCACAGGTCCCACATGGAAACATCTGACACTGCCCATCTGCAGCATTTGGGCATGAGTCATAGCAGTGAAGCATGAACTTCAGAGGCCCCAGCATTCACTTATTTTGTTAAGATTATACCCATAATTGTGGTTTTCATTTACAAACTGTGTTCTCTGCTAATTTTCGTGTACCCAGGTACACGAAACGTACCCAGGTTTTTACCTTGTTAAGAAGAGGCTGCAGCTTGGTGAGGGCTATAACCGTAGCTTCTATCAGAACTTGGCTATTGTAATTATCAGGCCCTTTTAAACAGCTCTCGAGTCCCTTTGTGCAGAGGGAAAAGAGAAAAAGTAATTAAAAATAAACCCATAATTAGATTCTGCTTTGTAAAAAGAGGATCAAAGCTCTAAATAATTGTTACTCTCAATGAGCTTACAAAGCTTGAGCTCATTTTAAAGCAACTCTCAAGACCTTTTCCAAATGGAGATTTACACAGAAGTGATACAGGCACTGCTGAAAGCAACTGCACAGCGTGTGTTGAGAAAGTAAGGGTGCAAGGATTACAGAGCCTCTCTTCTACAGTGCAGATGCTGCTCAATTTGAGAGTTTTATGGACATAAACTTCAAAAAATGCTTAAAGGAAACACATTTAGCACAGGGTGTCCGTGCTACGGAATGCAGCCTCCTTCAGGGAACATGGAGCACCAGCACCAAGCGAGGCAGTCTGCTCAGAGTTTTCTTAAGTGACTGTCCTGCTCTTTATTGCATTTATTTATAACACATTAGGTTATTAACTGTCTTTAAAAACAAGGAAGTTGTGAATCATGTGCATGCAGCCAAATGCCTTAACAGAACATTCCTCATTTATTTAAATAGCAGCTTCTCCATCCATCTCATCATCTCAGATCACAAACTCAAAACTGACAGCCACTGTTACTTTAGGAGCCACAGCAGTGACAAAACTTACTGCCACCAAATTGATCTAAAATGAAGTGCATGGCCTACATGAAGTGCATTTCCAACCAGTCAGTTCCATAAAACAGGCTTGGGAAAATATATTTATCCTCAAATTATACCAAGTTCTGTACTTGATGGGAAGATAAAGGTAAAAATAGCTAAAATAGCTATTTAGGAGTCATGTAGGAAAACAGACACAGACCCACATACCTTGCTAAGAATTCGGATTATTTGCTTTATTTGTCCATGAGATACACGCTTACTTATGCAGCCAAAGACAACAAGTGCTCTCGGCTGCAGGGATGGATTGTACTGGAATGCAAACCTGTGAGGAAACAGAGCATTAATGGAGAGACAGCAGCCAGGCTGCGTAAGGAGGACCTGACAATTTTAGGTGTGCACTCAGGCAGGCAGGGGTTATGGTCTTAGAGCTGTCACATACTTTTGAGCTAGTTCAGTCCACTGGTCCAGCCACTTGCATGTTGGAATATCCCTCATACATGCCTGAAAAGAATCATATTGATTGAATATGTGTAACATTAAGTGGTTTTAAAATTCAGACTGTGCAGCCAGAGCAGTTCTCACACACCAAGTACTTCAATATCCCTTACCACATGCTGGGAACAGTGCCCCTACACCACTCGCCTGCAGGAAGCACAAGCAGTGCCACTGGCTCTCAGGGGTTATTTGCTTTGACCCACATACCTCCATGATCTCCAGCAGTGCCTCAGTAACAGTTTCCAACGAGGTCAGGGCAAAAGTCTCCCTTTCATAGGAGCCAGGAGAGAAGGACCTGTCTCGGTAGCTGGAGCGGAATGCGATGACCGCGGCCGACTTCACTTTGCTGATTCCAAACAGCAAATAGAACTTGGGCAGAGAGAACTCAGTCAAGCTCAGCCTTAAAACTTGCTTGGTCTCCTCTGAGGAAGGAATGTTTAGTATTAGATCTAAAGCACTGAAATTCAACCCGTGTTTCAAACACCGCAGCTCACCCCCCCATGAACACCAAAGCAGATAATCATCCTATAGGTCACTCTGCATATTCCATCACTCTTTTCTTTGCTATTTCCCCCAGAGTATCCCACAACCACCTTGGTCTGCTGCACAGACTGCTGAAGCCAGCCACTGGGATGGTGTATTCTAAAAACAGGTTGAAGGAAGCTTCTTTAAAGATGTGGTTCTGTGAGACTTCTCACACTGATTCATAAAACGGGAACCTGGAGAGCTCCTGCTCTGAAATCCCAACCCTGCTGTAAGTTCAAGCTGCAATCAAATGCTGCTTTTGGCTCTGGCACTGAAGAAGCCACTTAACTCAGAGGAAAATGACAGCCCTGCTCCCAGCACTGAGTATTTTTACAGCTCTGAACTTCCAGTTCATTTCAGTGCACTTCCAATTCATCCTCTGAACAGGAAGGGTTGCCCTTCTCTCTCTGCATCAAATCAGAGCTTTTCTTTTCATATACATATGTGTATTCACACACTCACTGTCAATATATATAGATATACAATGAGCTTTCAGATCATAAAAAGATTACATAAACTTTGACTTTTTCCTCCCTAGTTTTACACTCTGTGGTAAGAAGTGACAGCTACTTATCTGCTTACACCGATTATTATAGGACTGCTAAAAGAGCAGCATGCAAAATACCTGTCTTAACAGTATAGTTTCACAATTCCCTTATGTAATTGTTATTTTTGTTACCACATTATGCAACCACTCAAAAGATGCACATCAGCTGCTTTTAGCACAGACCTTATTTTCTCCTTTCTCTGCATCACAGGATCTTGCTGGTACTTTCTTTTTTCTAAAGCCTGTTATACAAACAACTCACATTATGCACCTGCTCTAAACCAGACAGTTCTAACACCAAACTCGTTTGTTGGAGATCAAACCCTCAGCAAGCTGAACCACAACATGGGATTTTCACACTCTCAGAACAGTGCAAAAACAACTCCAAAATTTCTCAAACAAACGAAGGAGCATTTGGCTTAACTGGAAACCCTTACCACTGAAGTGAAGCTGGGAACAAGTGCAGAGAGAATGAATGATGTTGATGACGAGACCATGAGTGGAAGCTCTGAGAGAAAGGGGACCAGTGGCCACCAACAAGGTGACCACGTGGAAGAGGTAGGGGAGATGTGCTGCCACATCCAGAGAATTGTTGAAGGAGAGCATCAGCATGTAGCGTGCTAGAATAGCGATGTCATCCCACATCAGGTGCTGCTCCAGGGTAGGAGTCGGAGACAGACAAGTCTTGTCTATTATTTTACACATCCTCCCAATCACCTGAAAACATGGAACAGTTTTGTTTCACTTAAAGGAAAAGCACAGCTCGAATTTCAGTAAACCCCATTACAACTTAATATTGGGATTATCCTATTGCTTGGAACCAGTTTTATCATGTTCTTTGCATTACTGCCTGTACTGAGTCACCAGAAAGCTTCTCTCTATCACATCATTATATAAGATTAAGTTATTATATAAAAGGAGATCAAGGCAAAAGGGGAACTCACTTTGCTTGAAACCAGCTTTACATTTCCTGAAGCAAGTGCTACAGCCGTGTCTGCCATAACCTCAGCCTTTATGGAGCCTAAGCCCCCTGTGGCACTGGTCTTGATAAAGCTGTCTAGCACGACATCCAGGAGATCCGTTATCTGTTAGAGACGGTAAATTCTGTTTGTTCAGTCAGATTAACTTCCTTTTTCTACAGTAAACAGCCTGTTAAATCAGCAATCATTCCTTTTTAAGATGCATAACAACCACAGTGATCTGTTGTCCTTCGGGAGAAAAGCCTACTGTGTATTTTAGAGGTGTAAAGCTCTACCAACTTTTACTCCAGATCACAATGCTACAGAACTGCAGAGAAACTGAAATTCAGTTTGTATTACTTTTATTAACAATGCAACAGGTTATGCAGAACGTGTACCTGTCCAAGACTTCCCCATATCTTGGCCTGGATGGAAGGGTACATCTGCTTCTCGTTTATTGTCATCGTTATGAGCTTATCAAGAATGGCCGTGACCCGCTGGCGCTTGGCATCATCGTTGTGTTTGCAGAACCGCACCAGGTTGGACAGCCAGGGAGTCATGTACTCCAGACAGAGGTGCTTCAGTTCAATACCTGCAGTAAAGCACAGAATCAACACTGGTCTCTATTTATAAGCAAACAATTATTTGTCAGCACTTTTCCTCTCGGTTTTATTGTCCAAAATAATCACTGTCAGAATTGAGCAAATAACACCGGGCAAGCAGAGCAGCTTCAGAAAGAAACACTCTGTCAACGACATCCAAGAAACACTGGTTGCAATCTGGCAAGGAGATGCTGACATTTAATCTCTTACTAATAGACGTGACAAAGATGTGAACATTCAGGATTAGGCAGGAGTATTTAAGATAATCTCTTTTTAATCTTGAGAATGTATTCCAAACACAGCTTCCAACAGTAAAGGCAGAGCTGTACTTTGCCATCCTTTTTTTCCAGTAATAAGCAGTGCAACAGAACCAGATGTCCAACTGAGAGATACAGTCAACCTGACGAGATTGATCTTGACAGGACTAAAGAGCCCTGTAACTCTTCTGTGTATATTCTAGAGTTCAAACCTTCACTATCAAATTTTGGTTCTCATTCTGCAATAATCTACTTCTGATGAATTAGTAACAGAGACCTGGCCAAAGTACTCACTGTGCAGAGCTATCAACAGCGATACGAAACTAATAACCTGGACTGTGATCTCTCTGAATGAACTTGAGCCCCCAAACAAAGGAGGTATGCAGTGGAACTGGTTTTCATGTTCATTTCGAAGTTGCAATGCATAAGGAATACTGGAGGTACTTACTAGACTTGCTGAATCCAGAAATGCACTCTTCCAAGAACTCTAAGGTGAGGTGGGGTTCGTTAGCTGCAAGAGTCTTACTAATTGATACAATAAATAGTGTGTTGTTGGCAGGAATACACAGTCCTGACGTTTCCAGTAACTGGCCCTCAATCTTTAAATTAAAGGTACATGTTAAGGCACATAGAAGATTATAGGCAGCAGACCTGTAACAAAGCAAGCAACGTGACTTGTAAGAGTTTTCTTGGATATATATTAAAACACATGCATTACACCAAGGCACCACAGTGATAATACTGACATTTGACAACTCACAGCACTACTGCTATGCAAGAGATTACATTTAAATCCTGAACTTCTTTCCCTGCACTAGTTAAGACTCAGAGACAAAAACATTTGCCTTGAAGAGACAAAAGAAATTACTCCTCCACTTGCTTTAAACTATTCCTGATGAGATTAAAGACTGTGCTTGAAGGAGCTGGCACTGGAATTCTCAGAACAGCATTCAGCTCTAGGAATTTTTATGTATTTCCACGTGCACCTGAGCTAATAGGAGAGAGACCACCATGGCCTGCAGGCAGAGGCAGTGCTTAGCGCCACCACTGAGAGCCAACTCTACCAGCGGCAGCTCCCATGGTGTTAAACAAGTTCAACACCATGGAAATCAGATGTACCTAACAAACATATACTGGAAAGCAGAAGTATTTCTCCTTTTAAAGAGAAACTGAGCTTCCTACACACCTCCAGTAACTGACAGTGCACGTGCCTTTCTTCCTCTATAGAAAACACAAGCTTGCTTAAATTAAATGTACATTTTATGGAGCTGTGGTGAAAGAGAAATCATTCTGTTCAAGTCAGACTTGCCCACACTGAGGAAAGCCTAGAAAGGATCCACACTTTGATGCTAATGTAAAAGGTCCGTACCGCAGGCTGGGGTCGGAGCTCCCCAGGTTGAGCAGCGCGATGTTCAGCAGCGTCCCAGGGACATCCTTGGGGCGAATTTTGGTGTGCTGGGGGATGGAGTCTGGTTGTGAGAGCTCCCACCGCGTCCGTATGTGAATGATGGACCTGACAATGGCTTCACACTCCTGATGCATGAAGGTGAGCGGTGTGCCCTGGTTGGCAATGGTCAGTGTAAACTGGTTCTCATCCACGAGACATATTTCCTCGATCTCAGAGGCGTAGTAGATGTCATTTAGAAACACTGTTTGTCCCAGGACTCTTGTTCGTTCTGCTGATGTCACCTGCACAGCAGTCGACCCAACCTTAGGAAGAGAACAGAAAAGTGGTTTAGCACCTACTGTTAACAGTGCAGAGAGAAAAGTCTGACACCTCTGATGTTACAGACACACACTTCCTAAAGAGGCATACTAATAACTTGTGTTTTCTCCTCAAGACATGAGAGGAGAATTAAGAGACAGTAAAATCCTATTCAAATCCTTATGAAAATGTATCAATCCACTAGGAACAGCATTCGAAGGACTTACTTTAATAGAGACTTTGGTGTCTTTGTGAGCCAGTTTGAGAGCATTGTGAAATACTTTCAAATCCTCCTCCAAAGCCAAGGTAGCTGCTGGGAGTTTCTGCTGGTCGTGTTCTATGTGCTCGGCCAGTTTCCCTGGAGAGTCTATGAAAATAAGCCTTTTGCTTCCTTTCAAACCTGTCAAGAGCCTTTCATGGTATTTGGTGTATTCTCTGACCCAAGAGTTACAGTTATAAATAAAAACTGCTGAGACATTTTCATAAGCAAAGCCTGGAAAAACTACAAACCATTTAGAAAGAAAGTCTGTTTTAAAGCGATTACTGGGGCCAGCGTGAGTGAGGTCCACCACAATCTCATATGGCTTTGCATAGTATGGCTTCAGAGTCAGCAGCACATGGTAGATCAGCAGATCTCCGTTGATCTGACCAGTCTTGAATCTGTAAGAGAACGAGGCAGACATGGTTGGGTTTGCGTGCCATGGCTCACACTAACTCCAAGGTTAATGCCCAGTATCATGAAGTTGACTTGGGACCTCACATAACGTAAAATATTAAGAACCTTTTTGTTCTCTTTTAATGATTCTTTGAATCTCAGGAGACTGGACCCTGCATCAGCCAAAACCAAGCCTCCAGAGCCAACACATCAGACAAAAGTCTACCAGGAAGGATTAACTGAAAATCAAACTCAACATCTCGTGGGCATCTGAGGTACTTCAAATACCTGCCACTGTTTCAAGCTAGCATGAGCTCCACTCCTTCAAGGCAAAGTGACCGCAGAAGGAGGTAATAAATACTGTCAGCATGGATGTAGTTTTCAGTGTGCTGGGACACTGCTCTTGGGAACACCTCAGATAAACCAGTGGGACACAGGGTAACTGAGGAGGTGTATTTCGTGAAGGTAGAATGTTTATCTGCCAAAGAGACTCTCTTCCCTCCCATGCACCTTCCTGTTGTTCCGAGAGCTAATCTGGGCAAGTTGGTGTTTTCCCCCCTCTACCGTGTCATGGCAGAGCTGTTACAAAAAGGAAGTGTGTCATCGCTGTGGTTTTAGCTCTCCACTTAAATGACATATAATTTCAGTTACAGATCGCCTTAAAAAATACCAGCACTGCCTAAACCGACTCGCTCTGTGTGAATGGTCGTTGCATCCTAACAGCAAATGCACACACAAAGAAATGCTATTGTTGAAGGACTAAATACCTGAAACACCAATCTTCTTTTGACTACATCTTGGCAAGGTAGGTGCACGTTTTCTTTCTCTAATTGTAAGTTCCCCTTGGAAGTTTCTAGGATGTACAAAACTGCATGCAGAAGTATTTCTAAAGAAGTTCAGGTGACTCAGAAACACCCTGTACAAATATCTCCAACTGAATTCGGAGGCTCATGTATTTTTAGTACTGTTAAATCAGTACTAAAATCACAATCAGACTCCAAAGAATGAACAGTGACAGTCGGTCCTTGGCTCTGTTGTTACTGCAGATTTCAGGGAGCTCTCACAGATGACCCTGTCCGTACCTAGGCACAAAGGGCTGAACTAAAAAAGAAAAAGCAGCTCTTTAATGCAGTTCCTTTGCTCTCATGATTGTAAGTGAAGCCTTTAACATCAGTTTATTATTTTTAAGAAAAGCACATTTGGTCTGAACACCACAATTAACACTGGACTTGTTGTACCCTCGAGGGAGCAGGCAGAGCTGCAGCTCTCAGGCAGTAACATCCAAGTTGGAGTAGATCTGTACTGGCAAATGGAGCTCAGTTCTGCAGGCCATGCAGAAGCTTGGTGTGAAAAGTTGTTCTGTTCCCAAAGAAAGGCGTTGCTGGCTTTGCTTTCTTCCTTTAAAATTACAGTACAAGGCACTGTCAAAGGAACCTTCACTATATGAAGATAAAAGTCCTACCTGAGCTGCAGTTGATTTCTAAACCAGTTTCCAGTTCCAACTTAGCAATAAGGATTCATCTCAGAATGAGTCTAATTGCATGTCATAGGAAAGCTGCAAAGTTACGTCTATCTTTTGCTGCTCCTTTGTCCCATAAGGAGAGGCACCCATCGCTGTTCCCTGCTCACACACCAGACATGTCACCTCTCGTGCTCCTGGAGGACATCAGCAGGACAGGGGTTTGCAAGATAGGCAAGTTCACCCTCTGATTTTGGGGAGTGAATGGGGCAAGCTCTCTGGCAGGCATGGCAGCTTCTGACTATCATAGAAGTGAGTGTTGTCTGGAATATCTCTGAATGACCTAACCCCACAAACATACATGTTACCTGGAAAGCAGTACCTCCAAAAGCAAATGCATTTGTAAGAACAGCACTGTTCCTTCTGGTCATTCTCTGCATTGTTCATATTTGAACCAAACAGTCTGTGACTTTCAAAGCAAATGTTTTCTTCTGTTAATAGAGACAGGGGAAAGCCACTGGATGGGATAAGCCTTAAACTCTGACAGTGTCTCACACATGCAGACTGGATGAGGCAGCAGCAGTAAAGTGCTTCACTCCTACTCTGATTTGTCACTGTCATTTTGAGGTTATCAAACTTGGTATCAAAGCTGAGGTTATCAACTTAGTATCAGGCTGACCTAAAGCTCAGTTTCCTGCCCTCCAGACAAGCTCAACCGGTACAGATTTGATCACTGCACAAATGTGAGACAGAACATGCTACTGGTAGTACCATTTGCATCAATCTCAGGCGTTTCACAGAAAATGTCACAATCTGCAGCACGGCTGTGAGAAAAAGGAGAAGAACGTTTGTGATAAAATAGCCTTTTGTACAATAACGCAGAAAAATGAGAGACCAAAGATTTCTGTGAAACACTCCTGACACCTGTGCTAAGAACAAAGAAAGCAGTTACAAGAACATTTCAGACTGAGGTTTTTCACTTGACCATCTTTACATGCATGGCTACCTTTCCCACACCCAGGTGGGTGCAGACAGCAGCAGCCATCTGTAACCTGCACATGGGTTTCTCATTTGGCTGTGTAAAAGCAGAAGTGATGGACCTCAATCTGTAGTATGGCCAGCTTTAAAGAGGAGGAACTACCAAAGAGGGGGAACTACAGAGTCTGCCTCTACATCACAGAGCAGGCAGTGGGGAACACTTCCCTTTGTGCTTGGGTCCATGTTCTTTTTCAATCCTCATATATTCTCTATAAACCTCAAACTGTCAGAAGCTCTTGACAACCGGTTCTTTCAGAGTACCAAATACCTGCCCTCAACCCCCTGCATCCACTACAAATGTGGTTGTTACACGTTTTTCTAACTAAAAGGCTGCTGCCTGCTATTCCCTGAGGAGCCCAACTCAAACCTCTGAGAACCAGCCCTTGCTAAACAAATCCCATCATTTGTACTTTTGCAGGCGACTAAACAGGAAGATGAAGACCAGACACAGCAAATCACACGTTGCCTTCCCTGTCCTGATAATCTTTGCTTTGTGTCTGCAAACAAGTGCAAACCACACCAATTATCCGAGGGTTATAAATGAAACCTGGAATCCTACCAGCCAAAATCTAAGTGGAAGCCAGAACATAACTGAAGCCAATACAGATTCTCCTCCGAGCATCAACTTCAGCAGCAAAACGACTACTCTGAAAATGCAGACAGGGACCGTGCAATACTTATCCTCCACAATGGCCCAAAATCTCACATCTTCCCCTGCCAGCACTGCAGTGGCAACTTCTGCCACTGGAGGACCCAGGAATTCCAGCAAACCCAAGAGTACAGGGACAAATGAAACCTGTGAAGACAGCAAGTCTCTCATAATGATCTGCTTCATTGTAATAGCTGTGCTCGTGCTCATCTGCACCTTCTTATTCCTGTGCACAGTTGTGATAGCCAACAAAATGTCTTATCTCAAGAAAGCTCAGCAGGGAAAACGCAGGCCCAGGAGCAACGGCGACATCCTGGCGACCAACAGCTTGTGGCCAATGGCTGCAGGGACATGGCAGAGGATGAAGGAGACAACTGGAGCTGACTTGGTAATGCAGGACTTGATACCAGGGAGAGACACTGCAATCCCAAGAGAAACAGAAGGTGAAACTACCAAGAAATTCTCTAAAGAAGCAGACAACAAGCAGGGAAGCAAAGAGCCACTGAAGTCACACAAACCCATTTTTACCAATTTTGTGGTTGAGATTTAATTCATACTCAAGGAAAAAAACAAAATTGTCTCTTGCCTTTTTGACATCATTAATATAAGGTAGAAACTTAACTTTTAAGTAACATGAATTTTAACACAAGAAAGCTGAATTCAGATCTTAGGGTTTTCCATCTAGCATAGTGGGAATGCTGCAGCAACTTGGAGATCTAGAAGGGAATAAGACTGTGTTAAATAGCTTTCTATAAACCAGAGTCAAGACCAGCTTTACTCCTGTGACCAGAACTCAGGGTGGTAGGGGCTGAAGGGAATCAAACAAAAAAGAACAGAAGCCTGCCCATTCTCAAAGGTCACTGGGAAAAGAAAGGGAAGGCCTGGTAGTGTGATGAATGCAGCACACCATGAGGTGTACGTGGTAAAACCAAGCTGCTTTTTCCAGAAAGCTGTAATTCAGTCACCACTGATGCAATAACTGCATCAGGAACTAGTCCCTCTCCAAATGCCCTTTCAGGTTTTTCCATCAAGAACTTCTGAAACCAGCTTAATTGCTTTCGAACCAGATGGAGACATGAATCATATTTATTGTGTTGAGTTTGTGTGAGAAGACAGGGCATTTATATTATATATGTTAGAATATGATAATGATTTCAATTTGTTATCTGCAATAAACCAGCAACATCCATTTTTAAATAACTCACGTGATACTGTTTCTCTAAGTCAAAATACTCCAAATACGCATCAGACAAAGCAGTTTGGGATATTATATTCCTCTACCACTTGCTGAAGGTCACTAAAGGTCTCTCTCCCCTGACGAGTGGCTGTGGCGTGTCTTGCACCACAGACACACACTCCAGTCTGTCCCAATACAACCGATTACAACACACCAAAAGTGTCTTCAAACCCACCACAACTTCTCGTTTCTTAATTCTCAGAGACTCCACTTCCCCACATCTGGGGAGGGCTGAGTCTGCTCCCACTACAGCAGGGCTCTGTTGATTTAAGGAAAGATGAGAGGCTTTCCACAGGCTGCCCCCTGGATCAAAGGTGACCTGTTGTACCTTGGTTACATGTGCTAACAGCACACGATGGTGAAGCGCCAAGCATCCTGTGCAGCTGTACCAAGCATCTTCGACACAAGAGGTGGTTGGATGATTCAGGACAAAACACTGAGTCCCCAGTTCCTATTCCATGACATCACCCCTAAAAGTGGCTGAAAGGGCAAGTAAAAAGCAACGGAGAAGCCAGAGGACAGGGGATTATGTCAGTTTTAAACAGGATGGGAAAGGCCAGGAAAAGAATGAGATCAAACTGTGACAGATCAGTGATGACAACTAGTACTTAAGGGAGATGAACCGAGGAATATCTCACACTGGTGACAGAAGCAAAGCTGAAGGGCAGTGCAGGGGGATGCTGCATTGCAGTCACCTTCTCCTTCCCCAGAATGACCACAAGCACAGGGGGCAACAGCAGAGGCTGTGCATGTACTAAAAAAAGCATCTGAGATAGCAAATGTGAGAATCTAACTTGGTGTAAAACTGCTCGCAGCCAGGCGGGTATGGAACTGAAAGGGAAGGGTCTGTAAGAGTGAGACACTGCATGCAGTAAGATGCTCGTAGGCAGCAGATTACAGAGATAAACCAGCAGGGTCATGAGAAAAGCAGACAAAAAAAGCAAGAATCACAATCACATCAGTGGAAGGAACGAAAAAGAGGAAGGAGAA